TCGTGGTTAGGGCAGAGAGACTAGAGTCAGCCGCACAGGTAACAGGGTTGTCACCTGCCCCTGCAGGAGGAGACGGGCATTACACTGTCACTGCCCAGCCCCCCAGCCGGGCTGCCAGAAGGTGCCCTCTGTGTGGGGCCAGCCAGAGGCTGAGGCCCCAGGCAGGGGGCTGGAGCGGTGTTCTGGCTCTCTGGGTTAGTAGGGTCCCTCAGGGAGAGCCCTGGGGATGCAGTAGCATTCAAGTCACAGCTACTTAGTATTGTCTTCTGAGCAAGGTGGTTCATGCCTGCAATCCCAGCACTTTGGGAGGCGGAGGCGAGAGGACTGCCTAAGCCCAGGGGTTCAAGACCAGCCAGGGCAACATGGCAAGACCTCGTCTCTGCAATTAATCAAAAAGCTAACTGGGCATGGTGGCGTGCGCCTGGTTCTGGCTACTTGGAAGGTTGAGGCAGAAGGATCACCTGAGTCCAGCTGGTCCAGGCTACAGAGGCCATGAGTGTGCCACTGGGCGACAGAGTGAGACTCCGACTCAAAAAAAAAAGTAGTATCTTCTGAAAGTCTTAGCCTGGGCTAGGCATGATGGCTCTCGCCTGTAACCTTAGCACTTTGGGAGGCCGAGGCAAGAGGATTGCCTAAGCCCAGGGGTTCAAGACCAGCCTGGGCAACATGGCGAGACCTCGTCTCTACAATAAGTCAAAAAATTAGCTGGGCATGGTGGTGCATGCATGTAGTTCCAGGTACTTGGAAGGCTGAGGCAGAAAGATCACTTGAGCCCAGCAGGTGAGGCTGTGGTGGCTGTGAGCATGCCACTGCACTCCAGCCTGGGTGACAAAGTGAGACTCCAACTAAAAAAACAAACAAAAAAAGAGACTCTAACTCAAAAACAATAACAAAGAAAGTCTTAGCCTAGTCAGGCTGAGCTGCAGGGCAGGGAGACCCTCAGAATCCGTCTCAACTGGAAGAGAAAGCAGGGACATCTGAGCCCGAGGCAACAGGGAGGTGGGGGCATTTTATTGTAGAGTCGCAAGAGTTCTTTATATATTCTAGATATTAACCCCTTATCAGATATGTAATTTGCAAATTGTTTCTCCTGTTCTGTGGGTCATTTCTTCGCCCTCTTGGTAGTGTCCTTTGATGCCCCAAAATGTTTCATTTTGATAAAGTCCAATTTATGTTTTGATACAAGTTATGCTTTTGGTGTCAGAGCTGAACAATCGTTGCCCAATCCAGCGTTGAGAGACTTTTCCCTTGTGTTTTCTTCTAAGAGTTTTAGAGCTTTGGCTCTGATGTTCAGTCTGATTCATTTTGAGCTGCTTCTGTATATGGTGTGAGGTAGGGCTCCAACCTCACTCTTGGGCCTGGGGGTCTTCTTCCTTGGTTGGAACCAGCCCCTGGAGCAGTGGCCCCTGCTGGCAGCCCTGTGTGCGCAGAGCCTGTGGGGCACCTGGAGCTGGAGGTCCTGCCCCTGTTCCGGGCAGCTCCTAATCACATGCACTGCTCCCCTCTCAGGGGACTGTGTCGAGAGTGGGCACGTGCCCCGTCACGTCAGCCAGAACCCTTCCCCGGGACTTCACATTCACCCATTCTGCACAAACCCCCCACCCTCTCCAAGCCTGCTTGCCCTCTGTACCCAGGGAGCTGGACCCAACAGGTCCCCTCTCCTTGAGAATTAATTTGTGTGCCAGGGTGCAGGCTACTCAAGGAAGGCTTCTGAGCTGAGGATACCAGATCTGAGGGAGCCCTCTGACCCCCCCGACACACCCCTCCCAGCATGAGTGTCCGTGGGCCTCACACCACTTTCCATCAGGAGGGAGTTCTCTGTGTGGGTTGGATTTCAGCCACCAGGGCTTACAGTTCATGTCTCCTCCACCCCCTCGCCACACAGGTTGTGTCTTCTGTTCCACAACTTTCTACGGCTTCCATGGCCTACAGGCCCCCCATAGCCATATGCCACACATCTACCAAGCCTCACATTTCATTACCCCTCAAGCCACCCCACCTGGCTAGCCCTGCCCCTTCTCTGCCCATGGCTGGAGCTGGGTCCACTGTGGGTGCACACTGGGTCCACAGAGGCCCCTGGTTCTTGTTGCTGTCTTCCAGTCACAGCCATGCCCTGTGCAGACATGCTCACAGGAAGGGATGATGCTGGGTCCACAGGTCATGCTCCCTCCAGGCAGCCCCACAGCCACATGTCCAAGACCAGAGGCTTGTTAACAACGCAGAGCTGGAGGGCCAGAGACTGGTTGTCTCAGATGAGCATCTGATGACCATGGCCCCAGAGGGTGCAGACCCCAGGCCAGGCCCATGCTGGGTCACTGTGTGGGGCTGGGAGCAAGCAGTCACTTGGATCTGGAGTCTGGGAGAGACTTGGAATGCCAAGCAGACCAGCAGGGGGCTTTCACCACCTAGAATCGCGGCTATGGGAACCTCTCTGGGCCCTTGCTGAGGGGGAGACAGGCAAGGCAGACCCCTCTCCCCAGCCCAGAGAGCTCCAAGAGCCCCTCTCAGGACTTGGGGTCCCCCTCACTTCCCTCCTGCAGCACCATGGGACAGCTGAGAGCACATGGGCATCCATGGAGAGCACTGGGCCAGATGTGGGCACGGGGCAGGGGACCAAGGGAAGATGGCCTGCCCTGGGGATGCCACAGCCTCAGCACGTGGCCAGCTGGGGAACTCTGGGAGAAGCAGTGGGAGAGGGAGGGTTGGGGAGGGAAGGAATGAATGAATGGATGGATGCAAACCACTTCTGGCAGTCCAGTAAACACCTCCCGGTCCGACTTCCCCGCCCC